ACTTCCACTCCTGACTGGTTGTATAACCAAGATTATATTTCTTTGCCTCTTTAAGCTTCAGTTGTCCCATTATAAAATGTGTAACATTTTTATAGCATCAGTAATTATAAAATACTGTGTGTTTACTGGTGTTGATAGCTGCAGAAACATATATGCCAAGCTAATTGAATCTTAAATTATATTAAGAAAAACAAACCACTCAGTTCTGGATACTTTGTTTTAAGAGAGATTTTAATACTATATGATTCATTAAGAATAAGAAATGAAAGAAGAAAAAATTTACGGTTGGGAACCACATTTATTTTTAAATCTCTGCATGGTTGGTACATGAACTAGGTTAGATTATACATTTATTTTTTGCCCATGAGCACATAACTCAGGGCAATGGGGAAAGCTTCAGGTTAACAGAGTTTGACTCAGTGTAAAGAAAAGCTTTTGAACCATTAAAACTGTCTAAAATGGAATGAATGGAATGAAGTACCTTATTGAGTCACTAGAGATGTGCATGTAGAGTGTGGGGCAACCTCTTGTCTTGGAATATTGTAGAGGGAATTCATGCCTCGGGTAAAGGTCTGTTCAAGGCAATTTCTAAGGCACTTTCTAACTCTAGGATTCGAGGTTCCATAATATGGGGACAGTGATACCTCTCACAGTTATTGTGATGAATAAATAAAACTACATGTAAAAACTTCTTGGCCGTTGCATGGTACACAGTTGGTACTCACTAAATGTTCTTTTTTTTTTTTTTTTAAAGATTTTATTTATTTATTTTTCCCCCCCAAAGCCCCAGTAGATAGTTGTATGTCATAGCTGCACATCCTTCTAGTTGCTGTATGTGGGACGCGGCCTCAGCATGACGGGAGAAGCGGTGCGTCGGTGCGCGCCCGGGATCGGAACCCAGGCCGCCAGCAGCGGAGCGCGCGCACGCAACCGCTAAGCCACGGGGCCGGCCCGTTACTCACTAAATGTTCTTTGTCGTATCTATAAGATAAGACTCATCCTTGCCCTGGCCTGGTACAAGTGAGATAATGAATGTAAACATGCATTAAATACCTTTCAAGTCCTTTACAAGAATAGGATGTGTAGGAGAAGCTATATCTGACAGCTGGCCAGGCACCATTAGGGGTATTTTCCTTCAATTTGTTCATTTACAAAGGAAGACCTTGGCTTTTTAGCTTTTGGGTTTTTTAAATCCAAGTAGGGAAGGGCCTGACTTACTTGCGTATAGAATGGGTAGATTTGCCTTGCTCTGGCCACAGAATGTGATGGTTATGTGCATAGAGTTTGGGGGTTCCAGCCCGTAGCTCCTTGTCTTACTAGCTGGGTAACTGTTGGAAAGTGATTATCACCTCGTGAGCTTTAATTGCCTCATCTGTAAAATAAGGGTACCTCATTTAGGTTTGTTGTGATGATTCAGCATAATAATGTATGTTAAGTGCTTGGCACAGAGCCTGGCACCCAAGTGCTCAGTTAACAGTAGCTTCTCCTGTTAATGTGGTCTTTTTCCACATGCCGTGAGAGAAGTTTTCCAAATGCTTCTTTGAAGGGCTACAAGGTGGATCAGGAGAGGGCCTTTCTCTTGTGTCTGTGAGAAACTTCCTTCCGAATTAGTTCCTGGTCTCTGGCTTAGAGCATTGCTGTTTATAGAAACAGAACATGGCAATAAGAATAGCTGTGGCCAGACAGAGAAGCAGTCATAGGCCTCAAAGGGAATCTAGTCTCTTTGTGCCCATCAGTGGAGAAATATTCCCCTCTTTGATCTCATGTGGCCTTTTTCACTCTCATGAAGAGAATAAGCGGTGTTACAAGACATGAGCAGATTCTTAACAGGTCTGTATTTGATTGTTGTTCCCTGGGTCCTTTGTCCTGGATCCAGATGCAGCAGACAATGCCATACGAATGCTTTATGAGGAGGAGGTGATTGAACTCCAGTTGTGATATTGGCAGATTAGGGTCAGCTACTTCCTAAATGGACAAATTACTTCACTTTTATTGAGAGCTCCATTTTCTCATTTACAAAATGGTTATAATGATTATACCCACCTTTGGGATTATGAGAATTACACGACACAACCAAACCAAAAGCACAGTGCCTAGTTGTGGTAGGTGCTCAGTGAGATCATATCCATGAAGAAGGGAAGGTGCGTTTCTTGTAGATATTGATTAATTATAACTATTTTTAAATTTATTCTAGTAGAGTGCTGGTTTATATTTTAAGGTGTTTATGTATATATATAGAGTAGAATATTGAAGATTATAATTTAAAATGAGAAAATTTAGATTTTTCTGTAGTCAGTCGTGATTTCCCAACAGTGTTCCATGCTCTATTTCCAAGCCCTTTGAGCACCTCAAGCCCAGCACTCGAGGAAATCCCAAACCACACATGGTGAGTGCTACTTTTGTGCCATTCATTATGCTTGTTTGGCCTTTTCTAGTTTAGTTTTGAATTTGCTATTGTAACTTTGCTGTAATGTTCACCTGGAGCTTCTTTTGCATTTTTAAAAGGAAAAGTAAAAGAATGCTTTATTACACCAGAGCCATTTTTATAGGCTATTTTAGCCAGGTTTCTTTTAGTTGCAAATAACAGAAACTCATTTAAGTTAGCTTAAGAAAAAAAAAAGAAAAAAAAGATTGTATTACAAGAACATGAGAATGTCAATTTGTCACAATTTGTCAACTTGCCCACAGTTACAAAGTGCATCCAAGCCTTAGAAAGGCTTACAAAGGTCTGTAACTAGGAACTGTAGAGTCCTCAAGAACCTAGGCAATTCCTCTTTCTTTGTCTATCTTTCTCTATTTCCCTAGCTGTGTGGTTTCATATATCTGCTTCTCTCTGCATACCTACTGTTTACTGTGTGACTTTGGGCAACAGCCTTAATATATCTGTTTCCCTGTAGGAAAAAAAAAATACGTTAGTTTCCTGTGCTGATGTTGAAAATTATCAATGTTGAAAATTACCGCAAACTGGGTGGCTTAAAACAACAGAAATTAGGGGCCGGCCCCGTGGCATAGCGGTTAAATGCGCGCACTCCGCTGCTGGCGGCCCGGGTTCCGATCCCAGGCACGCACTGACACATCGCTTGTCAGGCCATGCTGTGGCGGCGTCCCATATAAAGTGGAGGAAGATGGGCACAGATGTTAGCCCAGGGCCAGTCTTCCTCAGCAAAAAGAGGAGGATTGGCATGGATGTTAGCTCAGGGCTGATCTTCCTCACATAAATAAAAAAACCAGAAATGTATTCTTTCATAGTTCTGGAAGCCAGAAGTCCAAAAGCAGTATCACTGGGCTGAAATGAAAGAGTGGGCAGAGCCATGCTGCTTCCAGAGGCTCTAGAGGAGAATCCATTCCTTGCCTTTTCCAGCTTATAGTGGCTGCTGGTATTCCTTGGCTTGTGGCTGACTTCTGCCTCTGTCTTCACATCACCTTCTCCACTATGTGTGTGTGTGTGTGTGTGTTTGTTTGTTCTCTTATGTCTATATCAAATCTCCCTCTGCCTCTCTCTTATAAAGACATGTGTAATTGCAAGTAGTGCCCACCCTTTATGGTCCAGAATAATCTCCCTAACTCAGGATCCTTAATTTGATCACATCTGCAAAGACCCTCTTCCTTACAAGATAACATTTACAGGTTCCAGGGATTAGGACCTGATATCTTAGGGTGGCCGTTATTCAGCCTACTACAAATGAGATTATAAAGACATATCTCAAAGTTGGTATATAATAAAGACTTCATAAATGCCAGCCTCCATCCGTCTCTACATCACTCCTTCTCTACATGCCCCTCCTTCAACATTGCCTTCAAATGCTTTTCTTTCTGATGAATGTCTCTATCACATTATTGTGGATCTGTTAGGGTATAATGATAATGAAAATAATAGCTGTCATTTATTAAATGTCTGTTGTAGCCTGAGCCCTGTGCTGAGTACTTTAACCATGGTATATAGGTACCCTTATAATCCACATTTTACAGATGAGAGAAACTAGACTCAGGTAGCTGAAGTAACTTAATTTGCCCAGTTTTACCCAGCTGGTAAGTGTCAGAATTGGCGTTCAAATAAGGATCTCGCTAATTCTAAGAGCTATGTTCTTAATCGTTATACCTTACCTGTTATTCAGGAGTCAGGTTCAAATCTCTGTTTTCCTGCTTTGGCATCTAACCAAAATCTTTCCTGGAGGTTTCTTGCACCTGCTAGCAAGGTTAGCAAGGTCTGACATCACAGTTCACCAAGGTACTTTTTTGTCATATGCCTGCTCTTTGGCATTGCTTGGTCCTGAGTAAGTAGGAATTTGAGGGAAGAGCAAGTGGAGAGCTATATTCCAGCCTGAATTTCCTCTTTGACTAGCCTGTTTGTTGCTAGGCAGTGAGTTTCTTGGCTGTGGGGATCATGATGATTTATTACTGAATTCCTAGTACCTACCACAGGGCTTGGGCACAGAGTCCTACTAGAATGTCAGCTTCACTTCACCAGGGACTTGTATTTGCTGTTGTATGCATGCCTTACAACAGTGCCTAGAATAGAATAATTGCTCAATATATGTCTGTTGGATAGATGGATGGATGGATGGCTTAGCTGGGCATGGTTAAAGCTTCTTCACTTGTTAACAATTACAACTGTCATTTATTGGGTGTATACCATGTGCTGGGCACTTACATACATTGTCAGTAATCCTTACCACCTTCCTACAGGGTAGAAGTGATGGGCTGTGGCTGAGAAAGGTAAGGGAGAGAGAGGAATCAAAGATATCTCCCAGGTTTCTGACGTGGATACTGGTCCAAGTGATAATGAAACCCAGGGGGAGGAGCATGAGTTCTTTTTTAGATAGGCTATGTTTATGGTATCTGCAGGTCTGTTCCTAGGACAAGGGCTCTAAAGATGCCCCCTGTTTGCCAGTTAGCCTGGAGAGGGGATGTTCTTGATCTACCCAGAACAAAGTTGCTTGTTTTAGAACTGCAGGCTTAAAGCCAGTATTTCCACTGTGTTCTAACTTGAATATGTTCAGTTTCTGTTCCAGATGATCGGGCTGAACAACGAACCTGTCTCATTTGTGGGGACCGTGCCACAGGCTTGCACTATGGAATCATCTCCTGTGAGGGCTGCAAAGGATTTTTTAAGCGGAGCATTTGCAACAAGCGGGTATATCGGTGCAGTCGTGACAAGAACTGTGTCATGTCTCGGAAGCAGAGGAACAGGTGCCAGTACTGCCGCCTGCTCAAGTGCCTCCAGATGGGGATGAACCGGAAGGGTGAGTGGTGCTTGGGGCTCTACTATCCACCCTTTACCCATCACTTTACCTTTAGTGTCAGCTATTAAGACTTGGAGTTATTCGTTTTCCAAGCCTGCACTATATGCCAGGCTTTGTACTGTGTACTCATAACCCAAAAATGAATCTGGTGCAGTTCTTGCCTACAGGGATCTCCCAGACTAGGTGGGGAGAAAGACTGGTGAGATGTTAAGGATTCTGTGAGAATGAATGCACAGTCTCCATGTGGCAAGACCTCAATTAACAATCAAGGCCTAAATGGAATTAATATTTTATAATCAGGTGGAAAGGATCTGAAGGAAGGGAGAGAAAGTAATGGCACGGATAGGAAGATGTGGGAGAAGCTTACCTGATAGGAGTTGGTGACATACTGGGTATTGGGCAGCACCAGAAGTTGAGGTTGAAGATCTGGATGAATAGTAATGGCCCTACCAGGAGAAAAAGTCAGGCTAAAAAGCTGGGTGGGGGAAAATGTTAGCCTTGGCAATGCTGAGATTGAGGTAGCTAAGAAAGACACACACAGGTGTCCACCAAGGAAGTTGGATATGTAGGATGACAACTGAGGTGAAGAGTCCTGTCTGTAAGTAGAAGTTTGTGAAGCTGTTGGCACAGCAGTGGTCAAGTTTTGTTAGTGGGTAGAAATCACCCAAAGAGAAAATTTGGAGACAGAAGAGAAGAGAGCCAGTGTCAGAACTCTAGCAGTATTCTCATGGAGGGGGGAGAGTAGTGCAGTGTAGTTCAATAGAAAGAATCTCTGGAGGCAGAGATTGGTGACAGACTAGCTCCTTGACCTTGTCTGTTGGGCAGTTTGCTTTATGTCTCAGATGCTCAGTTATCTCACCTTTAAAATGCTATGATAGGGCCGGCTCCGTGGCTTAGCGGTTAAGTGCGTGCGCTCTGATGCTGGCAGCCCGGGTTCGGATCCCGGGCGCGCCCCGAGGCACCACTTCTCCGTCCAACGCGAGGCCGAGTCCCACGTACAGCAACTAGAAGGATGTGAACCTACGACATACAACTATCTACTGCGGCTTTGGGGGGAAAAACATAAAAAAAAAAAAACTTTAAAAAAAAAAAAAAAAAAAAAAATGCTATGATAATACTTACCTTTCAGAGTTCCCTAGAGGATTAAACATGACATTGTATATAAAATACCCAACAAGGTATTAGGGGTTCATAGTAGTAGTGCGCTGGGTAAGGGTTAATTAGATTTAGTGAACTGTTCAAATTGTTTTTGTACCATTAACGAAGGCAGACATCCAGATATACTGCAGACTGTTTTTTTTGTGTGTGGGATAAGAAGAATCTTTTGAAAACTTGCCCATTATGAAGAAAGGTAAGAGAGATATAGAAGGGCATTTAGATAAATTTAGGTCATTTATAATTTATTTATAATACTAATATTTATTAAGCACTATGTGTAACAAAAACTCTTATACACTTTCTATGCATTATCTATGCATTATTTCTATGCATTATCTTATTGAAGACACGTAACAACCCTATTATTAACTATTACCCTCAGTTTACAGATGCAGCTTAGGGAGGTAAAACGACTTACCAGTAGTTAGTTTAGTGGTGGTTATGTTGACAGTTAAGTTGTTAAATTGTAATTTGTTATTAAGCAGAGCTTGTGCCTAACCACATGGACAATGTGCTGCTTCACATGTCTACCGTATGACTTAGCTATTTGCATGTTGGAATGTCCTATGTCTACTGGATGATAAATACCTATAATAGGGCATTGAAACTTTTACCAACATTGTCCTGTCTGTGTTTCTAACCTCATCTTCTGTCCAGAACTTACTTACTGTGCCTCAAGCGTGCCTTGCACTGTCCTGCCTGTGCTCGACTTCTTTCCTCTACCTAGAAATCCTCTCCCTTCCCCGCTTTGAGTTTCCTCTTACAGACATCTTTCCCTGCCACCAATACCAAACAAGTAATGTCTTGAAGAGAGAGTCTGTGATCATCTTCCCACCTTCATCTGATTTGGTTTTGGTGTCCAGTTTTCTCATCTCCCTTTGTTGCTCTCACTGTGAGTATTTTATCAAAGCATATTTATGAGTTGCCTTTTTGACTACTCTCTCTGATGAATTATCGTGCTTATTCAGTTGGAATGAGATTCTGAGGCTTTCAGCCAAACTTGCCTGTTTCAGGGAAGAAGCTTAACGTCATAACCTCTCTTACCATAGCCAGTGGAAAATGACACATAGGGTGTAAGGGATGGAGAGCTAGCTGCCTTCCGAGCTCATTTTGCGTGCAGAGCAGGCAGGCTCAGTTGCCTGGTGAGGGCTGCCTCTCAGAGAGAAACCCTGCCACCTCCTGGTTGGTGCTGAGAAAGCAGAATTAAAACTGCAGTTGCCATTGGAATATTTTTGGGGTGACGGAACTGTTTTGTATGGAACTATGGTTGGTGTTCGACACATAATTTTATGCATTTGTCAAAACCTATAGAACTATACACCACAAAAGAAGTGAATTTTACTGTAGATAATTTTTTTAAAGCAACCATTATGTGGGGGGAAGAGATAGAATTCAGATTGTGATGAATGAATCTAATTGATGTTACAAATAAATCACATGGCCACACTGAAGGGAATGGGGAAGAAAGGAGCTGACCTTGGAGAACAGTGTTTTGACTATATACTATAAGGCCAAAGACAAACAGAACGGTATATAAACAAAGATTCTAGTTTGTAAATTTGTTTCTCTCAAGGTTATGGGTTAGGAATTCTGTCACTGTTTTATTTGTACACTAGGGTTGAACAAACAAATATATTGTAGATGATGAGAATCAGGTTTCTCATATCAGAGAAGGAAGTTACAAATCAGGAAAGGAGAAGGCTAGAATGAAACCTCTGGGACAGGATTAGAATAAGAGCTATCAATATGGACTCATGTTTAGATAGATAAAAAATATAGACGTGTGTGTAGATACATGAGTTGGTATACATACGTATATTTTCTAGCTCTAGCTATTGAGAGGGACTGCAAGGAGTGACACCCCAATGGCAACAAGCACATCTAGCACCCAGATCTTGGTTTCTAACTATCCATAAAAGGAATCAGGACTCCTTGGAGAACTGGTTGATTCCAGGGCTGAGGCAGGGAAAATGTAAGATGAGCAAGGAGCATTGTGTGGTGCCAGAAAGTTAGAATGTGCTATATATGAAAAAAAGAAAGAAAGAAAAAAAGGAGGGGGCAGGGAGAGGAAGCATATCAAAAAGGCACAGAAGCCAACCTGATAGAGCTTCCAATGGCCAAAGTTGGAACAACTTTAGCAACAAAATAACTGTATATTAGTTTATAATCTGAGGAATAAAATATCCGTGAGTTCATACTGATAGAACTAACTGAATAAATAAACAGAAGAGTGGAGTGACAATTCTTCGTTACAGAAGAATTCTAATTCATAAACGTAGAAGGAATGAGGGAAAAGGAAAAATCACCATTAGAACACCACAGTAATAATTGCTGCAGGCAAGATCCACGGATGGATGCTAAAATAAGAGAGCATAGGTTTAAACAGGAACAGAATATTTGCATAGTCTCAGAATATTTGGTAATTACAAAGGGAAGAATGTTAAGTTTCAGTGGAAGATTCTGACAGATTCTATTTTAGCCAAGCAGTCAAGGTTCACATCGCTGGTGTGTTTACACTGACTTCGTGTACCCCCTGATATGATGCTCTAGGAAGGGCACACATGTACATCTGCACATACACACACAGGGATGGATTCATTCCCAGTCTAATCATGAGAAAACAGACAAGCCCAAATTGAGAGACGTTCTTCAAAATAACTGACACTCTACAAAATACTCTCCAACAGTGTCAAGGTCACAAAAGACAAGGAAAGACTAAGAAACTGTCACAGATTGGAGGAGACTATGGAGACATGACAACTATATGCAATGTGGTATCCTAGATTGGATTCTGGAACGGAAAAAGGACATCAGTGGAACTGGGGAAATCTGAATGAAGTCTGTACTTTGGTTAATAGTATTGTACCAAAGTTAATTTCTTAGTTTTGATAAATAGTCTGTGGTTATGTAAGATGTTAGAGAAGGGGAAGCTGGGTGTAGAGTATATGGGAATTCTCTGTACTATTTTTACAGCTCTTCTGTAAGTCACAATTTAGAAACTTAACCATTAAAAACAAAATGCGGGAGCCAGCCCCGTAGCCTAGTGGTTAAGTTTGGTGTGCTCTGCTTCAGCGGCCTGGGTTCGCGGGGTGAACCACTCGTTAGCCATGCCGTGGTGGTGACCCACATACAAAATAGAGAAAGATTGGCACAGATGTTAGCTCAGGGTCAATCTTCCTCACCAAAAAAAAAAAAACAAAAAAAAACAACAGCTGCTATGTATGAGCCAGCCCTCTGTTGTTCCCCATCTTTGGACATAGATATCTTTTCAGGCCTGGAGGTTGGCTGGTCAGGAGATTAATTAGCAAGGCAGTGAGGGAGATGTAAGGGTGGTGAGTGGAGGTTGGGCTCACCTCCACGACAGTGAGAGTGAGGTATCAAGTGAAATATTCAGTGTTGTATCTGCCAGTGATAGATCTTTGTTCTGTAGCTGTGAGCAGAAGCAAAGACATGTGAGAGGTCAGGATTGGAAATAGAAGTATCTGAAGACTGTCATTGACCATGGAATAGCAGAGAAGGAATTTTAAGAATTTTTAGAACTTGAAATTAGATTGAAAGAGAGCTCCCAGACAACAACAGTATGCATCCAGCTCTGACATAGGCTGTGTGTGTTTCTCACTCCAAGTTCACAGCAGCCTCGTGCAGCAGACTATGTTGCTTCCATTTCAAAGATGAAGATATTAAGGCTCTAGCAAAGTTGAGAGTGGAACCTTCGTTTTTTAACTCCTGTGTTCAGAGAAAAGAGGCTGGGGAGGGATGGATTAATTACTGAATACCTACTTTATACGCCAGGCCCTATTCTTGATGCTTTAGCTATATTATTTTATATATAATCCTCACAGTATCCTCTAAGACAGGTTCCAATAGCCCTTCTTTATTCTTCAGTAAACTGTGGTTCAGAGAGGTGAAGAAACTTACACAGACTAGGCAGAAACAGGGTTTAGACCCATGCTTGTCTCATTCTAAAGTGTGTAGTCTTTTAAGGATATCAAGAATGATGTCTACTTTAAGGAAAACGAACTTCCTGTCGACCTTTCAGTTACCACAGGAACTGAGTGTTATACTTGGCGCCCTCACCTTTTGAGGCAACTAACCCTGCCCAAGGACTTTCTAGATTCTTCATGTCAATTTTTTTTGAAGCAGGTATATTATAGCAAAGCTTGCTCTCACATGATGCCATTATTTTATACTCTGTTGTTAACATTCTCCCCTCCAAACCACCCTCCACAGTGGCCATCACAAAGGTTTTTCAAAAATGCCAACATGACCATATCCCTCCCCTACATTCCTTCTTATCCTTGGGCTCCTCTGCTGAAGTCCATACTCTTAGCCCAGCATTCAAGGCTTTCTGTGATCTGATCCCAGTTGGCCTCTCTAGCCTCATGTCTTGCTACTCTTCACACACACATGCTTCGGCTAGATACAACCACTAGGAAATTCCCACAAATAACACACCATGCTTTCTTTCAACTTAAAGCTTTTCCGTGCACTGTTCGCTCAACCTGGAACATCCTTTTCCTGCCTGTGTAAACTCCTTTTCATTCTTTAAGCCTCAGTTCAGAAGTTTTCTTTTCCAGAAAGCTTTGCCAGACACCAGAGCCTTTCTATAATTGCAAATCAGGGGTTCCTTACCCTGTGGCCCATATTAAGTGCTCCATGAACAGTGATGGTAATAGTATTACTAGTTGTTATTCTTAATGAGGCTGGTACTGTTCAAATGATGCTTTTTATAGTTAGAAAATGCGATAACTTCATCGTCTTGTTGAATCACCTGAGTGGGAAATGAACTGCAGGAGAACTCTACTGACTGCCTTTGTAGGGAGGAATCAGTAAGGTCAAAATTCTGATTAATTAAAACAAAAACAAAAAACCTGCTTTCCTCATCCTACAAATTAGGCTCAAACTTACACTGGAAATAAAAAGTATTTTATTTAAAAATGGAAATATTCTTTCTGTCCCTCCTCTTGAGTTTACCAAAGCCTTCAGATGCATCATCCTCGTGGGATATTTGTAACTGTGGGACTATTAATAATGCTATCACTTTTGTTGAGTATATCGAATGTATGCAGTGTGTCTATTGTGTACCCAGTGCCTTGGGGGCCCAAAAGTATCTGCTGCCTATGAGGTAGCCGGGAATAACGGAAAGACTGTGTGCTTTGGGCCCAGAAAGACCTGTGTTTTAATCTTGGATTCACCAATTACTACCTTATGCTTTTGGCCAAATAAATTCTATTTTTGTGCCTAGACTTCTTCAGGTATGCTTCTGACTGTCTTGACTTCTGTTTCCTTCCAGCAATCAGAGAAGATGGCATGCCTGGAGGCCGGAATAAGAGCATTGGGCCAGTCCAGGTGAGTTCTAGGCCTCGCTCTTTGTGGTCCATCCTGGAAGCCCAGGACTCCAGCTGCTCCGATAGCTGCTCACGTTGATCCTCTCATCTGCTGCTGGGGGGAGCCATCTTTGCTTTCATTTCTGTAAAACTGCTTTTAGAGCCTGGATGTGAAAGTGCCTTGAAAATCTTAAATATATAAGATAATGATTAAAGCTCTTCTTCTGATCCTCAACGCTTCCTAAGGATTTCACAGGAAGTGAACCCAATTCTGATTCTAAACCATCTAGAGGATTTTTTATGTCAGTCACTTAAGATTGTAGATAACTTAGCCTGGCAGAAATCAGCAAGACTACTTTGCTGTTTGATATATAATCAGCAGAAAGTTCACTGCCTTATTTGTAGAGTAGGAATGACATTACCCATTCAATCCCCCAAACATTTGCTAAGTACTTATTCCCTTTACTTATCCCCCTGTACTGTGAACTCTAGTGGGAGAGACAGATATGTGAACAGACATCAGAGTACAGTGAGCGGTGACAGAGGACACTCAGGGAGTACAGAAGGGACAGGCTTCTTTTCCATTTTGACTGGAGCCATGGTTGGGGACTGAAGATACTCAGGGAAGGCTTCCTAGAGAAGGTAAAGTTTGAACTGAGTCTTGAAGGAAAAGGAGGAATTAACTACGTTGGGAAGGGGTGGGGAGCCAAACTTCTTTTATTCCTGTTAGACAGAACAGGCTAAAAAGACCAGAAGGTGAATCTTGAAGGAATGACAGAGAGTTCACTTAGACAGGCTAGAGCACTGGGCACCTCTAGTGGAGTAGCAGAAGATAAGGCAGATTCATTGAGTTTGGAATTGTATCTCTAAAGAGTGACCTTCAGCAGTCTTTGATTATAGCTCCTTAGGTGAAGCCTTTGTGGGTCCAGGCTACACTACTTGTTCTTCCTTGCCAGCAGAAGAACTTCATGAGGTTAGAGAGTTGGATCTGTTTATGACCCATCAAGTGAATCTCTCAACACACAAGTTGGCAGTCACCATGCCTCAAAAATTATTGGTGTGGACAAAGAGGCAACCACTAAAAGTAGAAAGAGGGACATTGTCAGATTTGCATTTTAGAAAGATCATGCTAGCAGTGGAAATGGTTTGTGAGGTGCTGCGTAAGGGTGAAACTCAGGGCAGAGAAAAAGCAGTTAACAGTGTTTTACAGAAGTTCAGGCAAGAGATCTGGATAGTAGTTTTAAGTAGGGCAATGACAGTGCAAATTGAGGGGAAGGAGTAGATTTAAGAGATATTTAATACATAGAGCCGGCCCCGTGGCTTAGCGGTTAAGTGCGTGCGCTCCACTGCTGGCGGCCCGGGTTCGGATCCTGGGCGCACACCAACGCACCGCTTCTCCGGCCATGCTGAGGCCAAGTCCCACATACAGCAACTAGAAGGATGTGCAGCTATGACATACAACTATCTACTGGGGCTTTGGGGGGAAAATAAATAAATCTTTAAAAAAAAAAAGAGGGCCGGCCCTGTGGCTTGGTGGTTAAGTGCGCGTGCTGCGATGCTGGTGGCCCGGGTTCGGATCCTGGGCGCACACCAACGCACCGCTTCTCCGGCCATGCTGAGGCCAAGTCCCACATACAGCAACTAGAAGGATGTGCAGCTATGACATACAACTATCTACTGGGGCTTTGGGGGGAAAAATAAAATAAATAAAATCTTTAAAAAAAAAAAATAAAAAAATAAAAAAAAAAAGAGAGATATTTAATACATAAAATTGATAGGATTTATCCAATTGAAAGTGAGAGAATGAGAGAGAGACAGGAATTTAGAGTCGTTTTGAGACATATGCTGATGATGTATAGGGGAGTTTCCTATCACATGAGCTTGAAGTATGTACATATATGTGTATATATACATATATGCACTCAGTTGGGGTGTGAGTTTGTGCTGTATTCATTTTTTTTATGTTATTGAAGTCATATATATGTCTTGCAAATTAATTTATTTCGGTCTATCCTTAATAGCTGCTCTTTTTTTGTGTGGTACAAAAACGTATAACATAAAGTCTGCCTCCTTAACAAATTGTTAAGTGTACAGTACAATATTGTTAACTATGCACGTTTTTGTACAGCAGATCTCTAGAACTTTTTCATCTTCTGCCAGAAACTTTATACCCATTGAACAGCAACTCATTTCCCTCTCCCCCCAGTCCCTGGCAACCACCATTCTACTTTCCCCTTCTAAGAGTTTGACTACTTTTGATACCTCGTATAAATGGAATCATGCAGCATTTGTCCTTCTGTGCCTGCCTCATTTCACTTAGCATAATGTCCTTAAGGTTCATCCACGTTATATCATGTGACGGGATTCCTTCTTTATAAAGGCCATTTTTAAATCAGGTTATTTGTTTTTTTGCTATTGAGTTGTAGGAATTACCTATATATCTTGGATATTACCTCTTTATTGAATATAAGATTTGCAAATATTTTTCTCTCATTCTGTAGGTTGCCTATTCACTTTGTTGAATGTAGTCCCATTTGTCTATTGTTGTTTTTGTTGCCTGTGCTTTTGGTGTCCTATCCAAGAAATCATTGCCAAGGCCGGTGTCAGGAAGCTTTTCCTCTGTTTTCTTTTAGGAGTTTTCTAGTTTTAGTTCTTACATTTAAGTCTTTAACCCATTTTGAGTTTATTTTTGTGTATGGTGTGAGATAAGAGTCTAATTTTATTCTTTTGTATATGGATATCCAGTTTTCCCAGCACCACTTGTTGAGAGACTATCCTTTCCCCATTGTGTAGTCTTGGCACCTTTGTCAAAGATCTTTTTGACCACGTATGCGTGGGTTTATTTTTGGGCTCTCTATTCTGTTCCATGGATCTATGTGTTTGTCCTTATGCCGGCACCATACTGTTTTCGTTACTGTAGCTTTGTAATATGTTTTGAAATCAGGAAGTTTAAGGGCTCTAGCTTTGTTGTTCTTTCTCAGGATTGTTTTGGCTATTTGGAGTTCTTTGTGGTTCCATATGAATTTTAGGGTTATTTTTTCTATTTCTGCAAAAAGTGCTGTTGGAATTTTGATAGGGATTGCATTGAATCTATAGATCACTTTGGGTAGTATGGATGTTTTAACAATATTAAGTCTTTTAATCTATGAACACGGGCTGTCTTTCCATTTATTTATTTTTTTTTTTTTTAAAGATTTTATTTTTATTTTATTTTTTCCCCCCAAAGCCCCAGTGGGTAGTTGTATGTCGTAGCTGCACATCCTTCCAGTTGCTGCATGTGGGACTCGGCCTCAGGATGAACGGAGAAGTGGTGCCTCGATGCGCACCCGGGATCCGAACCCGGGCCACCAGCATCGCAGCGCGCGCACTTAACCACCAAGCCACAGGGCCGGCCCCTTTTCCATTTATTTATGTCTTTAATTTCTTTGAGCAATGTTTAATTTCTTTTGGCAGTGTTATGTCTTTCACCTCCTTAGTTAAGTTTATTCCTAAGTATTTTATTCTTTTTGATATTTTTGTAAATGCGATTGTTTTCTTAATTTCCTTGTCAGATAATTTGTTAGTGTGTAAAAATGCAACTTATTTTTGTGTTGATTTTGTATCCTGCAACTTTGCTGAATTCTTTTATTAGTTCTAACAGTTTTTTGGTGGAATCTTTAGGGTTTTCTCATGTAAGATCATCTTATCTGTGAACAGAGATAATTTTACTTCTTCCTTTCTGATTTAGATACTTTTCATTTCTTCTTCTTGCCTAATGCTCTGGCTAGGACTTCCAGTGCTATGTTGAATAGAAATGGTGAGAGTGGGCATCCTTGCCTTGATCCTGATCTTAGAGGAAAAGCTTTCAGTGTTTCTCCATTGAGTATGATGTTAGATGTTTTTCATATATGGCTTTATCTGTATTCATTCCTTTTACATTTAGATGCAGTAGAAGGTTTATTTATTGGGAACAATTCCTAAGCATTTCCTCAATGGAAAACCTTCTTAGTATTACCTAATGTTTTTTGAGTACACTGTCTGCCTTCCCACCGATCTTCAGTCACTTACATCTCCAGACTCTATGTTCTCTTCAGAACTGAGGGAGCTGATGCTCAGAGAAACCTATTTCATCTGTCATTGCATTTGACTTTTTGGTACTGGGCATATCATTTTCCTTTTAGTCTTTTACTGTTTACACACTGTGGTGTGTTAGGAAGAGAGAAATGTGATCTCCAAGTTCTTAACTGTGTTTAATTATAATTAAAAATAAGAAAAGATGGAAATTTCATTTATCAAAGTTGTGCATCTGTACTTTATAACTGTCTTAGATCGGGGCTGGCCCTGTGGTGTAGCAGTTAAGTGCGCGTGCTCCGCTGCTGGCAGCCCAGGTTCGGATCCCGGACATGTGCCGAGGCACCGTTTGTCAGGCCATGCTGTGGTGGCGTCCCATGTAAAGTGGAGGAAGATAGGCACAGATGTTAGCCCAGGGCCAGTCTTCCCCAGCAAAAAGAGGAGGATTGGCATGGATGTTAGCTCAGGGACGATCTTCCTCACAAAAAAATAAAGTATATTGTTTAAAAAAAAAAAAAAATAATAACTATCTTAGATTAACCTCCCTAGTCTATCTGACTCAAACTTGCATACTTCTTGTCTCCAGCTCTCTCTGAGGGAACCCTGGACTACAAGGGAAGTGATATTATCTCCATTTTACAGATGAGGAAGCTAAGACTAGAGAACTTGAGTGACTTACCCAACAATAAGTGCCCAGCTAGGAAATGACAGAGGGATTTGAATCCAGATTCAAGCACTCCTGACGTGTTTCATGTCCTATTCAATGCGTTAGTGATTGCCCAGTGTCCTGTGGGACCCACAGGGAGAGAGAGGTGCAGTCCAACTTTGGCTCCCAGCTGGAATAAGCTGACTTTACTGGACTGGTCCTTTTCACTCAGCTCAAGTACTTCCATGCCCTCCAAGCTCCCGTCTTGCTCTCACCACCATCACTGAGGCTGCTTCAGTCAGGGCCTCAGTAGATGTAGTTTGATGGCACTATTTGTCTTCACATGTCTTATAAAATATAAACAATGACTTAAGTGTTTTAAGGGACCCCTAAGAGAAAAGATTTGGGTTTTTTGCTACATGTGACTGAAAAAAGAAAGACAACCCCTCTAATTCAACGTGCAGTCCAAGCTATTTAAGACCAATCACTCAACTTGTGCACCAGTTAAATATTTCTTGTTTTTCCTCCAAGTCTTATTTGCTGGCTGGCTTCCAGTTCTAAATGCCTCATGTATTTATGATTGGAGCAGCTCAAGTTTTCCTCACAGGCTGCTGGAGCAAAGGATTTTGCAGGTTTGAGTCAGACAGACTCAGGAGAAGATGTCCTCTCAGGCTTTCCGTAGAAACGAGAAATAAAAATTCATCTGTCTCTTCCTCCTTGGCACTCATTCTCATTCTGTTTGCTGAGTTTAGCCAGTTAGGCCTCAACTCTGGGTTAGACACGTTATAAAAGAAGTGTTTATTCACTCCCTATATGGTATAGTAGCAAGAACACCGGACTGAATACTTGGATACTTTGGCCGCTTCCTCAAACTCCTGCCAGGACATGGGCACACATTGTGATCTTGGGCAAATCAGTTCACTTGTCTGAGCTACAGTTTCTTCTTATTTATTCAGTAGGCTTAAGAATGTCTTTCTTACTAAGAAAATTCGTGTGAAGGTTCATGGTGAGTACTTCATAAGTGAACATCTGTTCATTTATCCAACATGCATTTATTGAGTACTTACTTTTTAATAGGTCCTCTCATAGCCTTATGTCTTGTAGAGGGTATTTTTATGATACATCATCATAAGTGCCATAAAAATAACAGCAGTGATGATGAAGATATTATTATCAACCATCCATAATTGTTGCTATGTGCTAGGTTCTTTTCTAAATGTGTGATAATATATTAACTAATTTAATCCTCACAACAATTCGATGAGATAGATAATATCATTCTCTGCACCATACAGATAAAGGAACTTAGGTTCAGATAAAGTGACTTGCCCAAGATTATACAACTAGAAAGTGTCAGAACCTAGATTAGAACAAAGGTGGTCTGACTCTAGAATTCATACTCTGGACTACTATGTTATTCTGCCTCTCTCAGAGTACACAGAATTATGAGTGGATAGAAAAGGACCTAAAATTCTGTCTAGGTAGGGTGATAGAAGGATTCACAAAGAAGGTGGCATTTGAATTGGGTCTTAAAGGGCAAGTAGAAGTTTGTTATTGAAGAGTGGTATTTCAGGGGAAGGAAAGAATAGACTCAAGGACAAAGAGGAGTGTTGAAGAACCTAGAGGCTTTGTGGCTTGAGAGGAGAGTAAATGGGCTAGAGGAAGGCCATGGTGAGCCATGGTGCTGAGAGGCAAGCAACCAAGCTGTCCTAAGATTAATGAGAGACCTGGAGTATGGGAGGGGAGGGGAGAATCTTGGTTTCTCTCTAGAGAATTCTGGGAATCCCTGTGAGGGTTAAATAAGATCTCAGTTGTAAAGAAGGTACAGAGCACTAACGTGTCAATTCCTTGTCCAAGATATCAGAGGAAGAGATTGAAAGGATCATGTCTGGGCAGGAATTTGAGGAAGAGGCCAATCACTGGAGCAACCATGGTGACAGCGACCACAGTTCCCCTGGGAACAGGGCTTCAGAGAGCAACCAGCCCTCACCAGGCTCCACACTATCCTCCAGGTGAGCTTCAAGGCAAACTCAGCATCATCTAGGGATCACCTAAAGAGTAGACCCACAAGCAACCTCTGGGCTGGGTATTCCTGCCAGTCTGTCTCTGCCATTGTACTTTTACTCTCTCAGTCTTTTGGGGTAGGGGCCAGGATGATGCAAAGCAGCACTTCACAGCCCATTTTTTGCTAAAGGCCTTGAAAATGTCAGCAGTCTCTTCTGCAGACTGATAAAATGCTATAGCTGCTATCCATGCCTATATGTTCTTCACCTAACAGAATAACACTTTAACTGTAGCTCTTTTCTCTCATTTACTTTATCACTGAAATAAAACAAACTACATTGACAATATTGAATTAAGTTATAATTTCTCTGCCTCAGCGAGAGTGAAGATTCTCACTTTATAAATTTTAAGAAACAGTGAAAACTTTTTAAGCTACTCAAATTTGCTGCTATCATTGAATACCAATTTGGAGTCTCTTGGTTCAAGAATGGTATCTTAGGTTAGTAGTTAGTTGTTAGGTGTGAAACATAGCCGTCAGCCACCAGGGAAGGTTTCCTTTCCCCAGAAATCTTTCTTATAGGACAGGGATTGACAAACTTTTTCTGTAAAGGCCAGATAGTAAATATTTTAGGCTTTGCAGGCTATACGGTCTGGATCTCAACTGCTCAACTCTGCCGTTATATAGTGTGAAAGCAGCCAGAGACAGTTTGTAAATGAATGCATGTGGCTATGTTCCAATAAAACTTCATTTATCAAAACAGGCCGTGGGTGCCAGCCCCGTGGTGTAGTGGTTAAGTTTGCGTGTTCCACTTCGATGGCCTGGGGTTTGCCGCCGGTTCAGATCCTGGGCGCGGACCTACTCACCGCTCATCAAGCTGTGCTGAGGCGGTGTCCCATATAGAAGAGCTACAACTCTACAACTATGCTACACAACTATGTACTGGGGCTTTGGGGAGAAAAAAAAAAAAGAAAAAAGAGGAAGATTGGCAACAGATATTAGTGCAGGGCCAATCTCCCTCAAAAAAACAAAACAGGCCATGGGCCATAGTTTGCCGACCCCTGTTACAGGAGATGCATCTAGGTAAAACTAGAGGATTTTTTTTTTAATTAGTTGACAGAGTGGTTAGATTTCTCTAAGAAATGGGAGGAAAATAGGAGTCTGTCTTTCTCTTGATATTTCAGTGTAACTTTTATTCATTCAGTTGTTTCTTAGTTCGTTCCTTCCTTTGAATGATCCTGGAGTTTGTTGCCACATGTCAGGTTCCTTGCTAGGTACAGGATTTGTTTTGTGGCCTGGCAAGGCACTTAGCCTGTTTGTGCCTTAGTTTTCCTAGCAGTTAAAAATATAAACACCCACCTTTGTCATCATAGTCTATGAGGCTCCATTAACGCTCCAAATGTGGCACCTGTACAAAGAATTCATTCAACCAATATTAATTCAGTACCTGCTCTGCCAGGTCCTAGCTGTCCAGTGGTGAGCCACACATACACACACCCGCACAGAGTCCCTGTCTAGTAGGGGAGACATGCATGTAACCACTAATTATGTTCCTGGCTTGATGAAGACAGATTGCATGGCCAAAGAACACCTGAGCCACCTTCTGGCTCCTTTCCTTTGAGTAGGCAGTAGACCTGCCATGGTTCTGCTTGACATGAGACTTTTCTCTTCAGTAGGTCTGTGGAACTAAATGGATTCATGGCATTCAGGGAGCAGTACATGGGGATGTCTGTGCCTCCACACTATCAATACATACCGCACCTTTTTAGCTATTCTTCCCACTCACCACTTCTGCCCCCGCAAGCTCGCAGCCTGGATCCCCAGTCATACAGTCTGATTCACCAGCTGGTGTCAGCCGAGGACCTGGAGCCATTGGGCACGCCCATGTTGATTGAAGATGGGTGAGTGAGCCCTGCCCTATTTAGCTCTTGCATCGTCAAAATGTTCCCTATCCACACCACTTTCATCCCTGGCTGCTATACCCCAGGCTTCAGAATGAGTCAGGGGGATAATGGGTGATGACTCAATCAGAGGACAAATCTGTGCTTATCTTTGAAGTCAGTGGTCCCTTATTTTTTTCTTGATCATCTTTTCTCATAGAGTTGGCTATTTATCAGTCCCCATGGAATTGGGATTAAAGGGCTTTTGTTTTTGCTTGGGCCTAGGTAAGCCAGGCCCTGGGATGGATCTGAGTGCTTCTGTGCCAGATATGAGCTGTAATTCTGGGGATAATCATACATCAAGTCTAGGCTCCTTAACAAGGCACTCAAGACACTAACTGGTTGTGGCCTGTCTGCATCCCTAGCCAGCGTACTCATGGGTAGCCTGGTGCCATGTGCTCTGTGTGCAGGCCTGACTGGGTGGCAGGAATGCTCTTTCAACCCTCTTTCTGCTCCACCTGGGTAGATAATAGTTCAGCCTTTAGGCCCACCCACTCCTTTGGCCTGGAGCATAGGGTGTTTGAGTGTTATCAAGCTTAAACCCCCCCAAAAGTTATCCTGAGGTTTCTTAAGCTAGTCTCCAATTTCAGAAGAGGAAATTCAAATATCCACCTACAGGAAGGCCATACAAAACTTTTATAAATATGGGCGTGTGGCGTGTGGGGAAGAGTCATGCCAAGGGACCTTGAGAGAAAGAAAACTGGGACCCCATTTCATCAGCCCAGAGATGAGAAATGCCCTGCTCCTTCCATCCAGCAGTAGCTTAGAAGGGCTGAGCACCTCTAGTTCCTGAAATCTCACCACCAGGGGGTGCAGTGAGAGCAGGAAAAGCTGCTGAACATGTTCTCTTCTCTTTCAGCCATCTGGCCCCGAGGCTCTTTTTTGTACCAGTCCTTGTTTTGGGTGTGCACCAGATCCACCCTAATGGAGCTCTCATTGCCAAAACTAGTGCAGGAGTGACTGGGAATTTTCTCGAACACGTGGAACATTAGTGGACACCAACATTAAAAGTCACGCTCCTTGATAATTGCATGAATTTCTAAGCCTCCTTTCCCCTCAGCTACCTTTTCTCACTAAAGCCGCCTCTCCAGCCCTGAGCTTGCTGCTGGCACCAGTCTCTTCATCATTAGACTGAATCAGATGGAGCTGCAGATCCATGGGCAAGGGCAGGGAGCCCACTGCCAGACCCTTTGTGCTCTTAGGGGTACCCTCTCCCTGTGCCCCCATCCTCACCATCTGGCGATGGAGGTGACTTTCTCCTGTCTCTGCCCCCCAGATATGCTGTGACCCAGGCAGAGCTGTTCGCCCTGCTTTGCCGCCTAGCCGATGAGCTGCTTTTTAGGCAGATTGCCTGGATCAAGAAACTGCCTTTCTTCTGCGAGCTCTCAATCAAGGATTACACGTGCCTCCTGAGCTCAACATGGCAGGAATTAATCCTGCTGTCCTCCCTCACCGTTTACAGCAAGCAGATCTTTGGGGAGCTGGCTGATGTCACCGCCAAGTACTCACCCTCTGATGAAGAACTGCACAGGTGAGAGCTGCTGGCTGGGTAGGAAGTCCCAGGCAACAAACCACTGTCGTGCCTGCAAGGCAGCAGAGCTGCCTGGCACTCCAAGGGATGGGCATTCAAGCCGCCAAGGGCTGGATCTGAATCCTCACTCTGCCACTGGCTAGCTTTGTAACCTTGGTCAAGTCTCTGATCCTCAGGTTCTAAATTTTTAAAATAGGATAATAACAGTACCTCCCCAATAAGGTAGTTGTGAGGAATAAATGATATTGTGCAGCAAAGTTGAGCAGAGTGCTAAGCTGTTATTTTTTATCACATCTGGATTACTAAGGTAAGATAATGTATCTGGGAAAAACAAAAATCTAAACCTTGCCTACAAGGTGAGGGGCCCTGAGTTGTAGTTTACAGTCTAAGAATGAGACCTAGGAGTCACTGTAGTAGCTACTGTGTGCCAGGCAGTGGGCTAGGTATTTTATATTCTTGTCTTATTTTTTTCTCACAGCCTCCAGCATTATAGGTGGTGCTATGCCTATTTTATAGATGAGGAAACTGAAGTTCAGAGAGACCTGCCCTTGAGGGTTTGGGGTTTGAATCCAGAGCCTGGATTTGAACCTGTACTTGCCCAACTGCAAAGCTTAGGCTCTTTCACTGCACCTGAGATGCAGTGGGATGGTAAGAGCACAGGAATAAGAGACTGAGCTTTTCTCCTTGACATCTTCTGGTGTAAAGCCTCATCCCAGCTGACTAGGATCCTTCTAACCTCCCTGTCTAGAGAAGGTCTTTTACTCACTCACTTTGGAGACCTGGAACACAGGGTAACATCCCCAAATCAGGACAGATGATCTGTTGATAGAACTTTTCTGGCTTATTAATTTATCCATGTGAAAAATAAAGCTTAAATCACACTTAAATAGACACTTCAATAGTTGCCTTTTATTGGACAGGTTAAAATAATGGAAGTCATGGGATTTCAGAGCACCAAGAAAGAGGAAAGAAAAGGTGCCCCCATTGATGAAAGCAGGAGAAGGTGGTATACTAGCCCCCACACTTCTCTACACAGGACTGGGCTGCATGTCCTTCTACCACCCAATCGCCATGACTTAAAGACAAGCTGAGTCTTAGGCTGGGAGCAAAGCTTCAAGACCCTCAAGGGCCCTTTGCACAGCTGAGGGAGGGGAGGAGTCTGGGTGCTGACTCTGTCCCCTGGTTTTCTAAATTTCCTTTTTAATATGCTTTCTGGCTTCAGGGTGATCCATAAATGACAGAGTTTTGAACCCAGCTGACACTTTGTCCTGTAAACAGAGCTATCTGATTTTGCAGATGACCTAACCCCTTGTCTTGAGCCTCTAATTCATTGTTAGCATCAAATTCCTGTCTCCTGCTCTGTAACTCTGGGCCGACTGAGTGTTTGGATAGCAGTCAACCTGCTCCAATATTGTCAGGGTTTGCAGAGCTGGTCCAGCAAACTCGGCCTCCTTATTTGCCTGGAATCCACCAGTGCAGCCTGAGACTGCCTGCAAAGTCAGCATGTAGGCTTCACTCTCTAGAGTGATGGGTTTTCCCAGGTCCTCTGCAGGTAGGTAGGGATCTCCGGCCGTGCAGGGCTCTCTGTGGCTTTGAGCTTCATAAGGTACCCCATCCCACTGTATCCAATCCCTTGAGCCCCAAGCACAAGGCAGGAGCCAGGAACAGCTGAATTAGTGAAGGAATTTTTATTTCCTACAAAGGCTTCTTACCAAAGAGAATCTAGAGCTGTACTGTTCAATTTAGTAGCTGCTAACCTCAGGCAGCTTTTTAAATGTAAATTAATTAAAATTAAATAACAGTTTAGTTTTCATTTGTACTAGCCACATTTCAAGTGCTCGAGAGCCACATGTGGCTAGTGGCTACTGTATTGGACAGTGCAGTAATAGAACATTTCCATCATCAGAGAAAGTTCTTTTGAACAATGCTGACTCTAGAACACATGTTGCTGCTGAGCTCTTAGGTGGGTTCTGAGGATAGAAATAGATTTGCTGTTAGGAGTCTCACTCCTCTGTGGAATCCTTCAATGGAAAAATATGAGTTAAACTTGGACATGCTATTCTGACTCCATGCCCATTTACTGAGCACCTATTGCGTGGGGGTGGGGGAAGGGTGTTGGAATCACAGATGATACAGACATGGTTTCTGACTCTGAGATGAGAGCCCCCATTCTTGGTTTAGGGGATTGGGAGACAAATAGAAGCAGATACAAGCTACAATCCAGGGTGGTATTGGTGGAGATTGAGGAGCATATGAGGGACTGTGCAAGCACAGACTAGGGAGTGAGTACCTCTACTTGCATAATTAAGGAATGCTTGCCAGAGGAAGACATTTGAGCTGCATCTTGAAGTGGGATTTTTCTAGGCAGATTATAGAAAACAGGAGGAAGGCAGGAGAATGACACAAAGTCCTAGAAGTTGGAGATCTTGGTTGGTTGGTTTGTGCAGAGAGCTAAAAGCAATCATGTGGATTAGGGTATAGAGAGAATGTATCTGAGAGAGAAATGAGGGGAGAAATGACTAGAGAGAAAAGTATAGAAAAGACAGGTAATGAAGGTGCTCAAATGCCAATCTGAAGAATTTGGATTTTATTATATAAATAGTATTGTCATAGTTTTTAAGTGGAGCACTTACATGCTCAGATTGCATTTTAGAAACATCCCTGTGACTGTAAAACTCAGGATGGATTGGCATGGACAGGCTAGAGCATAGTGGCTGGGTAGGAGGCTGTTCCATAGCCCAGGTAAAAGAAAACAAGGCCTGGACAATGCAGCAGTGACTGTGGAAATAGAGAGGGCAGCACAGAATTAGGAGATGGTGAGGAGGTCAAGTCAATGGGACTTCAGTGAGTGGAAAAGTTAGAGATGCTGCCAGGTAGGTGGGTGCCAATTCTCTTAGCCAAGATAATGGAGCCTGGGAAGAATAGGCTGAGATGAGCCACTCTGAATTTTACTTGGGGTCTGTTGAGTCTGAGATGTTTGTGAAACTGCCCAGGAGTTCAGAGGAAATGGAAGTATGAGAACCTCTGGAATCAGGTTCGTCACTGTAAAGCAGTCCTCACTCTGCTAGAAACCCAGGGTGTGGAGTCTGTAATTGGCCATAGCTCTTTCCTACCTTGCCTGCTGCTGCCTGACTCCCACTCCCCAAGATGCCTTTACTTTCTCACAACTCTTGACTGCAAGTGAGTTTCTGCTGTCATGAAAAGGCTTTTCCCAGATGATACATGACCACCTCCTTTTCTCTTCTCAAATATTGAATCAAATTTATGGTGCCCATTTTCCTTAATCAGGCTGTTATCAGACAGTGAGCCGGGTGAATTTGATTTAAAGCAGATTGTAGCACCAGCCAGTGACTGCTCCTGGCCCTAATCAAGACTCCTTCACTCTCAGGAGAAGATGCTTTGCACTAGATGGGCTTTAATGGGCACTTCTATCTCACGAGCACCAGCTCCATTCCTGCCATCTTAGGAAAGTTGCCTCCCAGCTTCCTCGCTCAGCCCCTAGCTATAAGGTTCCGGAAACATGCAATCTTTTTTTTCTGCTGTGGTAACGGGAGCGATGATGATGATGCTAATTATATTACTAATGTAACGACAATAGCTAACAATTATAGGCTGTTTATTGTGCCAGATTCCATCTTTAGTGCTTTGTTTAGCCATGACCACCACTCTAAGATCTGCAGTATTATCCCTGTTCTGCAGATGAGGAGCATGAGGTTCAGAGAGGTGAAAACTCAAGGCTACAAAGCTAGAAAGAGATGGAGTTGAGAATGTCACCTAGATCTGTTGTGCTGCAAAGCCCAGGCTCTTTACCATTACTCTATACTAAATTATTTAGCCTTCTCAAAAGTTTGACTTGCTGGAATGTGTCTTGGAGCTGCAGTCTTACTTTTCATCTTGGAGTCTGTGTGTGGGTGCTGAGGTGGCAGTTCTCTAAGGTTGTGGCTGATGACTGCTCCTGGGAGTAGGTGCACTGAGATGAATGAAAAAGAGGCAGCTGGGCCTCTCAGCCCCTTTAATGGGACATAACTTATATAGTGTCAGCTTCAATTGCTGACTGAATGGTCCAGTGGTTTGGGGGATCCTGGCAGCAATGTTTTCCTTGTCCTAGCATGCTTGTGTAATGGGAACCTAGAAGAAGAATGGGTGTGTTTGTCCAACTTTCTGGCTTTGAATGCTGATAATTTGTAGACAGGGAATACAGGGGCGTTAGAACTGTGGAGTGGGCAGATGTGGAGGAGGCACGGCTGCAGGAGAAAGCAGGCCCATGGAACAGAGAACAGTTTGTTTATCAAGGGGTGGGATGCGGGGTGTGGAGGAAGGCTTTGCAGTCAGGCTGTGGAGACTGAGTGGGGGCTGCTGGGCTGGCCTCCAGCCACCTACCGCTGCCAGGGGTCCAGGATGGTTGCCTGTCCTAGGAAATTTGGAAAAGAGGGTATATGCTCTCCTCAAGAGAAAGGGCAGATCTGGGGCATATACCCAGGCCAGGCACTTGGGAGCTTCTTGTTTCTTTGTGCCCTTCAGGTCAAAACTCAGACAGGAATAGGTTTGACACTGCTGGCTAGGGGTCTGGCTGATAGCCACACACCTGCAGGTTCTACAATGCCAGAGTAAGCAGTTGGGGCAAGAGGTTGCTGATTAAGGGAGAGAGCGTTATCTTTGCTGGCTACACTGCCTGGCCACCAGACAGATGCTGACACTGCTGCTCCGCTGGCATCCTCCTTTTTTATGTCCTACCCCATCCCATCCCCACTGTGCCCCTCCAAGCAGATACCAGATGGAATTTTCAGTAAAGACCTTTTTCCTCTCAAGAACAGAAGTAGCCAACAAAATACTGTGAGGAGAATTGATCTTCACTCTCAGGCACGCTGCCTCCTGCACGTCTCAGCGTCATGGGCACTGCAGGGAAGTTCTGTGCACTGCAGCAAACCCAGTACCCACTCTGGGTTGGGCTCTGGGCTGAGTTGCAGTGGGAATATAGAGCTCCTGAGGTCCCCTGTGGTAGCATATGGTGGCCTGTCCCGGTTACCAGGTAAGAACAGGACAGGCAGGGAGTGGACAGTGAAGTGCTGATAACATGGTAGGCTTGGAATTAGAAAAGTTAAGTTTAAACCTGGATTCTACCAACACTTATTTGCTGTGTAACCTTGGGGAAGGCACCTCTTTTTCTGCTTCCTTCTCCCTAACATGGGGGTGATATTATCTCACAGGTTATCAGGAGGGTAGAATGTAAGAATGCAATAGGCGTACAGTAGATAACCTCTCTGAGCCTTTGTTTCCACATGTGAACAAAGGATTCTAATATCCATTTTGTGGACTGTTTGGGAGTATCCAGTGAAATAATGTAGGTAGAATATATAACAAAGTGTCTGGCAAGTAGCAAACACTTAAAAATGGTAGGTAAGGTTATTGTAGTGGTTATTCAATATAAATTTGTTAATCAGCCAGTCAGGGAAAGTATTAATAAAAAGTTGTAAAAGCGATTGGGCCAGGCACAGAGAGAAATGGAGTCAGCCAAGAGTCAGCCATTGTAGTAGTTCAAATCAGCTGACTGGAAGAAGCCTCAGTTCAGACCTGCTGGGAGCCAAGCCTGAGGCAGAGGGTCCGAGCTCCGAATTGCAAGTAGCTGCCGCTGCGGCTCCCCCTGGTGCTTGAGAAGTGCAGTGCCTCTGGCCCCATCCAGAGCCAGGCTCTCCTTGGGAAGGGGAAATGTCCTGTTTGCCCAGGAAGTCAAGCCCTTGCAAAGCCTTCAGAGTCAATACAGAAAGCAGTAGAGGGCCGGCCCGGTGGCTTAGCGGTTAAGTGCGCGCGCTCCGCTACTGGCAGCCGGGGTTTGGATCCCGGGCGCGCACCGACACACCGCTTCTCCGGCCATGCTGAGACCGCGTCCCACATACAGCAACTAGAAGGATGTGCAACTATGACATACAACTATCTACTGGGGCTTTGGGGAAAAAAAAGGAGGAGGATTGGCAATAGATGTTAGCTCAGAGCCGGTCTTCCTCAGCAAGAAGAGGAGGATTAGCATGGATGTTAGCTCAGGGCTGATCTTCCTCACCAAAAAAAAAAACAGTAGAGCCCAGACGTCAGTAGTACACCCACAGGTGTTCTGGACCCTATCCAAATAAGACCCTGTCTGACACGTGGCTGCAGTACTCAGATCCGAACATGTCACCAGGAAGCAGCCCGGGGGCTGAGCATCTTCTCTCTGTGGCTGAGCTGCATCTAAGGCCTGTCTAGAACTCTCCTTGGCCCACAGTCAAGCTCACTCCTAGAAGGGTGGAGGCTGGGCCTGACCCCAGCTTTTGTAAACTCCTGCTTCCCCATTAAGGCTTTGCCTCCTTGGTTTGGTGGTATCTTCACCTCTGGTATGCGATATTCAGCACTATGACCCAGAGTATTAGTCCCTTAGCCTAGGGCTCCTTTGCTTAAAACTTGGTCTTTCCGCAAGGAGCTTACTCCCAATCCAAAGAAAGGAGCATAGTCAGCATTGCGTCTTCTCTGCTAGGGGATGCCACCTTAGATATTGGGAAAACCGAGGCCTTGGGGAGTTAGCCCAAATTTCAAGTTCTAGCTCTGCCGCTTGATAGCTGTATGTCTTTGAACTTCAGTTTCTCATCTGTGGTGATGATAATCTCACCTAGCCCATAGGGCTGAGAAAATTAGATAATGCACATGAAGTGCCCAGCACAGAGACTGGCATGGCGTGGAGGCTCAGTTAATGTTTCCCTCCCTCCCTAGCTGAGGTCAGGGATGCCAACAAAAATTTTCACTGTGCATAACCTCAGCCCTGCTGGAAACAGTGAACCTAAATAAATACCATCAGCAGTTTTTTCTGCATTGTGGCAGAGGCTCACATAGAGTCACCATGGCAGCTGCCGTTGATACTGGAGGCTGCATCTCAACAATAGCAGCATCTTACTAATATCATATTTCTCCACATTTACCTCCCACACCTCCTTTGGCCCTTGTTATCCCAAGCAGGCAAGCATTATTATTTTACAGAGGAGGACCTCAAAGCTTAGAGGGGTCATATGACTTTCCCAAGGTCTCAAAGCTTTTATTTGATGGAGCTGGATTTGAACTCAGATTTGATTGACCCCACCTGACCTTAGGAAAAGCCAGCCGCTTGTATGAGCTGCCTTGGCTTCTAGACAGGCCATGGATCCACCTGTCTTTCACAAATGGTTCTGGATTCCTTTTCCCCCAAGCGCAGCCTCTTTTCTATCTTAGGTGCTTTAAGGAGCTGTGGGAGAACTCTGTGTTCCCTTCCCTGACCTCCACTGGTATCAGAGCCTGCTGTTAACACCTGTGTCTGTTCCCCAGATTTAGTGATGAAGGGATGGAAGTGATCGAGCGGCTCATCTACCTGTATCACAAGTTCCATCAGCTGAAGGTCAGCAATGAGGAGTATGCTTGCATGAAAGCAATTAACTTCTTAAATCAAGGTGAGTGGCTGGGGGGTGAAAAGAAGGCACCTTTTCTTTTTTTTTTTTGCCAGTGAGCATTTGCCCTCATGTTTCACCCCCCCTTTACCCTCAGGACTGTCACACAGAATCTGTCACACCATGTGGGTACCAATCTTGGAAGGCTATGCTCCCCATATCATCATTCTGCCCCTTTGTAGTGCAGGGCATGCTTTGGATTTTTTTCTTCAAACCTAAATGCAAAACAATAAGCAAACACATAGATACAGAGAACAAATTGGTGGTTACCAGAGGGGAAGGGGGTTGAGGGGCGGGCACAAGGAGTAAAGGGGGTCATTTGTACAATGACAGATAGAAACTAGACTTTAGGTGGTGAACACAATGCAGTGTATACAGAGGTCAAACTGTAATGATGTACACTTGAAATATATATAATGTTATAAACCAATGTTACCTCAATTAAAAAAACAAAAACTTTAAATGCCACAGGCTCTATAACTCATAGAGGAAGGAAGAGGATTCGCTTTGTTTAGTCAGTTTTAATGCATTTAAACAGACACCAAGGACAGTACATGCGTCATTTAAAATATGTACCAAGTTTACCAGCGGCTGAAGAAGAGCAGAGTGACTGATGAAACTGTTGGAGATAAGGCCTCTCTGACAGGCTCGCAGGCCTTCTAACGGCCCCTTCAGGGCAGAGTGGGGGTGCGCAGAAACTCACACATGCATATCAAGCGTGGCTTTTAATTAGAAGAGTGCTGGATGTGATTTATGTGAAGTATTACCTGCAAAGTGGCACTTGGGAGCTGCTGGTGACCAGAGTGTGAAGGAGAATTTGTATTCTTTTTTCCAAAGTAGCATGAGTGCTCTATTCTCAGAGTGGAACGGGGCTGTTTTGCTGCCTGTGACATTAAAGTGCTCTGTTCCCGTATTCAGTTTCCTAGTCCAGAGACTCAATCCCCTCCTCTTTGCCTACTCCTCCCCCCTCACTGGCCAAACCTCCTCCTCCTGCTTCTGCACCATTCACGCGTTTATCTGGTGTTCTGTGTGCCTCCCCTAGGCCGTGGCCTGTGTTGAGCATTAAAGACATTGAAATAAATTAGATCCCAGGTCCCTGGCCTCAAGAAGTATACAGTCTGGGCCGGCCCCGTGGCTTAGTGGTTAAGTGAGCGCGCTCCACTGCTGGCGACCCGGGTTCGGATCCCGGGCTCACACTGACGCGCTGCTTCTCTGGCCATGCTGAGGCCACGTCCCACATACAGCAACTAGAAGGATATGCAGCTATGACACACAACTATCTACTGGGTCTTTGGGGGGAAAAAATAAATAAATAAAATCTTTAAAAAAAAAAAAAAAGTATACAGTCTGTTGGCACTTGACACATTACTTGAGCCTCAGGTGAGGGGAGATCAGTAGCAACTACTTAGAGGAGGAGAAATCTAAGCTGGCCCTCAAAGGATGGGTAAGATTTATATAAAGAACATATAGAGAGAATATTTATATTCTATATATAAAAAAGGGGTAGGTATGTGCAGTAGTCCCCCCTATCTGCAGAGGATCTGTTCCAAGACCCCCAGTGGATGCCTGAAACCACGGATAGTACCAAAACCTACATATACTATGTTTTTCATACACATACATACCTATGATAAAGTTTAATTTACAAATTAGGCACAGTAAGAGAATAACAACAATAACTAATAGTAAATAGAACAATTACAACAATATACTGTAATAAAAGTTACCGTAGATCTTAGCAACCTCAGCATATGATTTTTTTTCTTTTCTTAGTAAGTTGGTAACTTTCACTTTTTCACTTAAAGGAAGCACTTTACAGCTTCTCTTTGGCATATCTGAGTTGCCAGCATCACCACTCTTGCACTTTGGGGCCATTATTAAGTAAAACAAGAGTTGGGGCCGGCCCCATGGCATAGCAGTTAAGTGCGTGTGCTCCGCTGCTGGCTGCCCGGGTTCGGATCCCGGGCGCACACCGAGGCACTGCTTGTCAGGCCGTGCTGTGGCGGTGTCCCATATAAAGTGGAGGAAAATGGGCACAGATGTTAGCCCAGGGCCAGTCTTCCTCAGCAACAAGAGAAGGATTGGCACGGATGATAGCTCAGGGCTAATCTACCTCACACACACACAAAAAAGTAAAATAAGGGTTACTTGAACACAAGCACTGTGATACCATGATAGTCAATCTGATAACCAAGACAGCTACTCGGTGACTAACAGGCAGGTAGCCTGTGCAGCGTGGGTATGCTGGCCAAAGGGGTGATTCACACCCCGGGCAGGATGGAGTGGGAGGGCACAAAATTTCATCATGTTACTCAGAAGGCCGTGCAATTTAAAACTTACAAATTGTTTATTCCTGGAATTTCCATTTAATATTTTCGGACCACTGCGAGAACAAACTGTAGAAAGCAAAACCACAGATAAGGGGGAACTACTGTATATATATAAATATATATATACACATACATTATATATACATACGTACATTATATGTATACAATATATATAACATATATATTGAGAGAGAGGGAGAAATCTATATAGAAAAAAACTGGCCTGACAGCCCAGGTGGAATGGTATGAGCAGAAACACACAGACCATGTGTGAGTATACGTACAAGCGTGAATGTGTAGGTACCAGAGGGTTTCTGATTGGCTCCAGCAAAGGGCAAATTTAAAGATACTGTGAAAGATAAATTGGGAATGGTAGGTTATTCAGTCAGTTTTCAGCATCGACTGGTACTTGTTTTGTGCCAAGCCCTGTGCTGGGAGCTGGGTGTGAAGTTGAGAGAGATGCAGCCTACCCCTCAAGGGGCTCAGTCTACTGCTTGTCCTTCATAATTTTTTCCTTCTTTATCTGATTTCTCCTATCCAGAGCTTTGTTCCTCCATGTCATAAAGAGAAGAGATCCCCTGTTGTGGCAATGTTTAATAGTTTTTAATTGAAAGATGCACATATTCAAGGAGCTGGTGTTTGTTCCACGTTAGAAAGCCCCTCCCATTTCCTGTGTGGTTTTTTTCACAGATATCAGGGGTCTGACCAGTGCCTCACAGCTGGAACAGTTGAACAAGCGATACTGGTACATTTGCCAGGATTTCACTGAATATAAATACACACATCAGCCGAACCGCTTTCCCGACCTCATGATGTGCTTACCTGAGATTCGATACATCGCAGGTAACATTCTGGGTGCTGGGCTTCCAACCCGTCCTTACTTCTCTTAGCTTGTGAAGGGAATATGGCAAGCAGTGTTTTCAGGATACTTATTCGAGACCCATCACCAACTGCATAAAAGAGGTGCTACCCTTGCCCTCAGGAAAGTTATAGTAACGAGAAGTTTGTATTTTCTTTGTAGGGCAGAGAATCTAACATTTCCTGAGCGTCTATGATGTGCAGGGTACTTTATGGCCTTATATCATTTAATCTCAGAACAATCTCGGTAAGGCTGGTGGTTGGTGATATATGGTCATTCTATCGTTGGGAAAACAGGCTCTGAGTTTCTCAAATTAACTTCATTTCCTGAATTGTAAACTTTAAAAGGGTGAACTTTATGGATGTGTATTAATTATATCTCAATTTAAAAAATTAACTTCATTTCATACAGTTGCCTGTAGGTTTTCAGGGATCATTCATTTAAAGTGATATCTTTAAAATAATTCTCAAAAATCCTGTTTTTGCAAAGGAATTTTTGTTGTTGCTGTTTTGTGGTCTTGACCCCCTCCTGAGCTTCTTGACATTTAAATAGGTCCATTTCAATTAAAATCCTGGCTATCGTTTTTTTATTATTGCTTTACTTCATTTGGTAAAGATTCTTATTTATGGTTATTCAGCACATAACTGAGGGGCAGCTCAGAAATGTGACCTCTAGGCTGAGATTGTTTCTGTCAAATTCAGCAATACCGTTTTGGAGGAAAAACTTTTCAATCTAACAAAGGAATTTTTTTCTTCTTTTTGGGCCCAGAGTAGTCTAGCAGATGTGAACTGGACCTAAAGTATTGGAATTCTAGGGATGTTTTAATAGTTTATGTCTCAGCATTTTCAAAACTACGTTCTACCAAAGGAGAGAGTAATCAGGTGCTCTCTGACATAAAAGGAAGACAGAAATTATACCTGCCTCTCCCCCACAGAGCTGGGTTCTCAACCCTGGCAGCACTTGGAATCACCTGGGAAGCTTTTAAAAAATATCCATGCTTGGGTTGCACCTCCAGAGATTCTGATTCAGTGGATATGGAGTCGGCCCTGTGCATCAGCATTTTTTTAAAAACTCTACAGGTGACTCTACAGTACTGTCGGGGAGAAGAACCGCAGCTTCGGATATTTACAAAGTATGTTAGCACACTGAATGCTCTGAGAAGGCCTCCAATAAGGAAGCCAGTGTACCTCTTTCTAACCCTGAATTTCGCGAATTTATTTGCCCATGTGACCCCCCCGCTTTTTTCCTCAGTACTTTCGTTAACCTATTAACACTATTCTGAAGAACAGTGTTGTATAGAATGCTAGTTAGAAAATCTACCAGGAAAAAAAAGAAAACAGGCTATAAGTTTCTCAGGGTATTTTAGCTCTAAGAGGGCTTCTAGGAATACCTCTCAGTTTCAGATTTCCTCATCTGTAAAATGGGGATAAAAAGTAATATCTATCACACAGAAATATAGTGAGAATTAATTGAGGTCATACATTTAAAGACCTCGTGTAGAGGAAGTATTCCCCGGGTACTAGCAGCGATTATTGTTTGCACCGTTCCTGCATTCCCTATGGCACCACAGCGGGGCTGGGGATCAGGACGTTAGCCCCATCTGTCTGACCTCTGTGATATTCCGGCACTTTCCTTGCCCCACTCACTCAAAAAGGCAACATTCTCCCCTCACCAGCCCAAGAGGAGGCAGACAAGTCCACTAGCGGCCACTGCTAACTCTTGTTTTCCCACCTTGTTCCCAGGAAAGATGGTGAGTGTGCCACTGGAGCAGCTGCCCCTCCTCTTTAAGGTGGTGCTGCATTCCTGCAAGACAAGTGTGGGCAAGGAATGACCTGTTCCCAGCGCCCTCCTCAGGCCAGCCACAGCGCCTTGGGTGGGCAGGACAGGCTCCGGAAGAAAGAGCCAGAGAGACCAAGATGGAGGCTGCGGAGCAGTGTTTCCAGTTGCCTCCATAGCAAGAAGAGTTTTTGTTTGTTTGTCTGTTTTTTTAACCTCATTTTTCTATATATTTATTTCACGACAGAGTTGAATGTATGGCCTTCAACATAATGCACATGCTTTTGTGTGAATGCAGCCGATGCATTTCCTTGCAGTTTACAGAATGTGAAGATGTTTAATGTTACAGTGTTGTCATTGTTTAGAGATAGTTCTTTTGTATTTTGAGGGAGAGGGTGGGATGGGGCTGAGATGACTATTTCCATAATGTTGACAAGACGACTACCTCAGTGGAAAGGGAGGGGTGTGGCCATCCCTACTTTTTCCACATGTTCTCAGCAGACTCATACATTGTCTGTCAGAGAGCAAACTGCCTTTTTCTAGCCACAGAATTACCAGGTAAAAGAGCACATCATAAAGGGGCAAAGTGGCGTTAGGAGGTTTATTAAGCAAAGTGGGTGAGACATTGGGAACAGGACAGGCAATGAAGATTTAGCCATCTCTTTTTTTTGGAAAGCATGAAAGTTGATAGAGTGGGGCACAGTGACCAAATCTAAGTTAGGTGTCCTCTTTCCAAACAAGTCCTCCTGGAGAAGGGTTTCTGTTCTCACACCGTGCTGTGGGCGTCCCCCACAATCGGAACCACCACTGTCGGTTTCTGCCAGCATCAGCTTTTCATCCAGACAAAATCCTGGCAATAGGCTAATCCTTGGGACTTGCCTACCAGCTCCTTGGGGTTCACAGCTACCTAGTTTCCTTACCTGGATCTACCAAGGCCTACCCTCCTCCACTCCTTGCCTCTCCCTTATAAATTTGACTTCCTATTGGCCCTTTGAAAAAACAACTGAACAGAATGTCATGCTGTGAATCCTGGTGCCCACTACTGATTTATTCTCCTTTCACCTTGCTTTCTTCAAAGGGTAGTGGGACGGAGACTAGACTGCTAAAAGAAGAAACACTCCTCCTTTGGAGTTCCCTGTTCCACCCCCCACTTCACCCCTAGGACTGAATCCAAAACCTGCAGTCTCTTTTTCAGACAGTGGGAAGAACCATTCACCCATCTCCTGACCAGAATTTTTGCCCCTACATTCTGCTCTTCGTTCTCTTTATCTCTCCAAAATGTGAGACTAGATTTTCTCAGAACAGAAAGCCCAAGGCCTGGAGTGGCCCAGCTGTCCCTTAGAGTATCAGTGGCCTGGCTGACCAAGGCGTGGAGGGCTGGAGTCCAAAGCACCTGGAAGAGAAAGGGGGCTTGAAACTACCTCATGTTCCTAAGGGCCTGGCTGCCCCCCTGCAGACGTGGCCTGGGCCTCTCGTTCTCTCACTACCTGCCCCGCCTTGTCCCAGCTGTGTCCTTACCCTCCTGGCTTTGGCCAGTGGCCACACCGTGTCTGTCTGGGAACTCTTGCAGGTGCTTCTTCCTTCTCCGTCTTACTAAAGCAATGGTCCCTACCTGGACCCAGGCATCTCCCACAGCCACTGCAGCAGACAGACTGCTTAGCTGCGGCATCCCTGGGTGGGCTAGGGGGCCCTGCGGCACCTGCTTTTGCCTGTTCAGGCAAAGGCCGTTTGCCCTCTTCCCAGCTCGGCCTAGCAGACCAATCCACTGGGCCACCACATCGTGTGCATACCGGATAGTCGGTCTCCAATTGTAATTTTTTCTTTCTGGTGAAATGTTACGGGTACCAGCAGAGTGATGACTCTGTCCCTTAGTGGTGTAAAACTCAGAGCATTACTCCTCAATGCCATTTCCCCATCTGCTCTGAGAAAGAAAGGAAAGAAAGAAAGAAGAGACGTGGTCCTCAGGAAAAGCTCCAACCAGAATGTTTTTCACGTGTCAGTGAGAAGAATTTTGTGTGTGTGTATCTGTTTATTTCTAAGTTCACAATATTTTTGTTTCCCTGAATTTTTTATTTAACCAAGTAGATCACATTCTTTGGCTACAGGTCAGACTCCAAACTGCTTTCCTCAAGATAGGGGAGGAGACACCTATCAGGGACCCCTTCCCCAAGACAGCTCGTGTGTGCAGCATCTTTCTTTGCTTAGACCTCCATCTGTCAAATTATTATTATTTTTTGAAATTGCTTTTCTCTTACATTAAGCATTTTACCGGTTGTGTTAGGTATCAAAGGAAATTGCTCTTTGATGAGGCAAGAACATGTCTCTCCAATACTGCAGCATTAAACAGAGCAAGTTGTTAATTTGTGGAGTGGGGGAAAGGTTCTGCAAGTTGCCATTGTACAAATCCATTTTTACAAATGTTTGCAGCAGATTCCACAGAACAAAGAGCCCATTCATTGCCAAGAGCCCTGCAGAATTTCTGAGCCAAGTGGCCGTGTGTTCCGAGCCGGAGCCTGACCTGTGGACCGCCTTTAATGTCTTGTGCACCCAGTCCTTTTATGACGTGGGCTTTTTTTAAACAGGGTAGAGTGAATGTGTTGCATTGCAAACTCAGGTATTATGAGGAGAAGGTAGGAGTGTAGCTAGCAGCGTGGAGACATTAGGTCAACCACTAGATGTATTTGTGAATTTGGTTTGAAGGACACAGAGAAAGGTTGGAGGGGGAGGTTTGGTGCGTGTGGTTTTTTTTTTTTTTTTTGCCTTTCTTCCCATAATGTTTGGTTAACAGGTAGCCTTTTTGCTAGTGGAAGAAGAAAAAAGTTGTTCATGTTGTCTCTAAGTCCCCTCTCTTCCGTCCTCTCTCTCATCCCCTGCCACCAACAGCACTCACTTTGAGTGAGAGTTGTACCACCATAAAAATATGACCCTGAATGAAAGCTGTGTGGAAAAGGAGAATCCCACCTCCTTGCACTGCATTGAAACATTTAAGCTTTTCCCTTCTTTTGCTTTTAAATGTTTTCTTGACCCAAGACAAAAGTTTGGAATCTTGGAACTTCACCTACAACTCATGCTCTCTGGCTCCTTTATGGACTTTTGGAGTCTTTCACAAGGTTTAGTGGTCTTGCCCTTAGTTGGGAGAAAGTCCCTAGAACCTGCCTCAAAGCACTCCCACTGGCTCAGAGGACACCCAGCCCCCATGCCCAACCCCTCAGTGAGGTTTGGGAGTCTCCAGGGCTAGAAGGCAGCAGGTGGGAACTGCCCTGTCAAGTTCCCCAGAACCAGAGGAGAGACAGAGGGAACCTCGGGGCCTCATGGCGTCACTGACGGTCACTCAGTCCACACCGACCCGCCTCTCACTTGCCACCCCTGCTCAGGGAAGTGAGTACTGCCACGGCCAATACGTCATCAGGTCCTTAAAACCCTGGGCTCTCTGAGCCAGCTGCTTTGCTCTGCTACCCATTTGCTACCTTAATTTGTTCTTGACTTCCTGGGCATGGGATAGATGGAGACAGACAGACAGACCTAGCGTGGGCAGCATCTAAGCCGTGTCCAAGGCTGGCCAAAGTAAAGGGACCCTGGCCTCCCAGCAGGGCAGGACACTGAGCACTGGTTCCAAGTCTTTAGCTCTGGACCCCGGGTCTGTGTCTTTTTTCCTTGTTGCTTTTTAAATTTTTGCTACTGTTTTAAGAAATCCAGTCTTTCACACCAGCCCTTTTATTAAACTTTAAATTTTTCTTTATTGATTTTTTAAAAGTAAAAAACAAAAAAAAAAACAAAAACAGAAAAAAAAAAACCCTAAATAAAAAAACCACTAATCTTCCTTTCCCCAACTTGATCCACAAGAGTCCCCCGCACTCCCCCCTGCATTTGCAGTTGATCATTTCTCCCTTTTTCCTCGGCTTGAAGCATCTATGTCCAGTGTCTGTGAAATGATGTTTTATCTGTGTCTCAGGACGAGAAACAGCAAGCTTTCCACCAGGTGCTGGCAACTGGTTAGCCTTGAGGCAAGAGTTTCTAGGGCCACAGCTCAGGGATGTGTATTTAATTACAGGGTCCCCGGAAACCCCTCTCTTGGCTGCCACAAGCAACAGCTTATTTTCTGGGCTTGGGAGCCAGACCTGGACTGTTTCCTCAGAGGCAGTAGCCCCAGGGAACATGCTGAGTCTGGGAGCAAGCTGGGGCTTCCTCTTCGGCCAGACCTGGGCTACCTTGAGACTTGAAGACTCCTGGCTGTCCTGCACCATGAGCCACAGTGACCCTCCTCTGCCAGCTCTTAAGATGCTTGGTCTCCCTGCCAATCCAGTCCCCATCTGGCCTCCATCTTCTGGGCCTGCAGCCCTAAATGGGCCACAGCCGCCTCAGGAATCAGTTGCAGGCTCAAAGGGAAGCTGTGGGTCAGGCCAGAGCTTGCTCCAAGCCCAAGAAAAAAGTTGTGTTACTGGTGGAGGCTAGTCTTCCCAATCCCAGAGCCAGCCTTGCTAGCCAAAGGATCATTTTTGCCCTTTGTTGACCATTGTTTTCTTTCTCTGAAATGTCTTATAATAGGTGATAATGTTGTTGACTCAAATTTCCATGAAAAAGAAAAAAAAAAACTACCTCTTGAGTGACATCCTGGGTCGATTCCTCTCTGAGGAATCCTGTGGGAAAAGAAGACTGTAGCTCCTGCTCTGTTTACATGTCTCTATCGAGAAAGAAACCCCTCCTGCCTTGGGGTGTTGGTGTTTTTGTCTGTGTTGCCGTCCCAGGCCTGCGATAGGGGCTTGTGGCTGCGTTGTAATGTCTGGGCCGTGTCTGGGGAGTCCGTCCCACATGCCCAGCCAGGGACTAGCCACCTGCTTGAAGAGGCCTCTATTTCTTCCTGTGATCCAAGGCACAGGGAGCACCACCTCCCATGACACCACCTTCAGGGGTTCTGGTGGCACATGCATCCATGAGCCTACCCTTGGGCCACCTACCCTAGGCCCACCTCTACCCACAGTCCTGTGTAGGAATCGAGTAAACGGGATGTCTCTGAGCCCTTGTCCCCAAGGGGCCGGCCAAGGGCTGCCCGCCAGCCTGGCTCCATCAACCCTGCATGACCAAATGATAGTTGGCGGGCTCTGCAGGCTACCCAGGCCCTCTGCTACCTCCCACCCTGCCAGCTGGCAAGGGATGGGCCCTTTTCTGTGAATTGACTACCTGTGGAAATGTGACCAATTAGTGTGAAATGCATGTTTAGCAAATGTTAGGTACTGTATTTGAACCAATAAATGTGAATCCTCCTGCACATGGCATCTGTCTGTGAAGCTTGTCTGGGGTTCTGGGGAGGGATGGTGGGGTGTCCTAAGGAGCTGGCT